TTAGCGATATACCCGTTGAAGCAAGATACACCTTTTTAAGAGTGCACGCAAGTTATCATTAATATTCGACACCGATTCTCCCGTTTATCGTTTAATTAGTTACAGTATTAATTAGAAGTGACGAGATACCCGACTAGTCAAAACACTAAATCGAAGACCGCCCTGCTTTAAATTAAATGTAAATTATTCCCCTTCGATTCTGTAGTTGTAACGGTATTGTCATAGGTAACCCTTACTTAGAAACGAGTATAGTTTATACTTCGTCTAGGGAGTTAGTTAAGCGCGCATATTTAAATATTAATATAGTCACTTATAAATTTGATTCAGTCGTAAAGACAATCGCTATTAGTAAGGGTAGCGATCTGAGTTAAATTTGGGTAACACCCCCTTGTCGGTGAACACACCTACGCGACAGATCATTGGCTCTCCCACCCAAAAGAATACATCGACTGCAGCAATATCATACATTTTGCTGTCCCAAACTCCCATATTATATAGTAATCCATTAATATCATACCTCGGTCACATCCCAAATTTACTATACATACTAATATTACACAAGTCATATCCTTATTTACATATATGATACTAGTACTACACAAACTGTCATGTCGTTTCTATTTTTACGTTCTGTACAATCATTGCCACATTTCTCGAAATGTTAATAATAATTAGCACAAAATATCAAACCGTGCTGAGCCTAATAAAGACCTCGAAACCTCAAACCGTGCTGAAAGACATAAACATGCCACTTTTAGCAAACCAGACAGCGTTTAAGCCAAGATCATAGTTCTCAACTATATATAAGCATATTTTTGGCACTCTGCATCTTCAGTAACAAGGAAGAAATTTGGAGCGTGTATTGCTTAACCTTCCCGATATTAAAAAAAAATCCTTATCTGAATTAATCATTAATTTAATATAGATAGTTCCGCAAAAAATGTTGAAGAAGGCTCAAGTGACGAGGAGGAAACAACTATTTCTGCGCGAACGGGAAGACAGGCACTTGATATAATTAAAAAGTTCTTAGAACAAAGAGATTTTACAACAGACAATGATGTTAAATATATGCAATATAATTCGACGCTTAACCAATAGACAGAATTGCATGTTTTCTACGATATAATGTGACTTTATTTCCAAGCTACGATATCCTGTTGACAGGCTCGCTAAAGCTAGTTTTAACATGACAGTAAGAGTCAGAGGTGAAACAAAGAAGTGGCCAACAGGAAGGCCATACATGAAAGAATTCTAATGAGAGTATAAAATGATGGTAGCTATTTGAGTGGGAGAAGGCGCATGTTTTCTACACTCACCTAGCAAAAGTATTGGCGATTTATTAGTAAAACATATTAATATGAAATTTTCTTTTTTTCGGACATCTCTAGTGTCTGTATGTACTATGTAAGTCAACAATTTTTATACCGTTTTGAAGTGAATTGACTGTACTTTCGAAAAAAAGTAATGATATATTCAGTCCCGTTATCATTTTAAGCTGCAGTTCGATAAAGTGGTGGCATTGATGTTACACATATATTGCTCATACATATTCATATGTGTAACATAGATACTGTCACTTCATCGCACCACTCTTTCATTACAGTGACTATTTTCAAAAAGTACAATCAATTGACTTCAAAACGGTATAAAAATTATTGTAACCTGCATCGTACATATGGGCAACAGAGATGTTCAAACAAAAGAAAATTTCATATGTTTTACTAATTGATTGACAAAAATCACCAATACTTTTGGTAAGTGGGTGTATTTTAATACAGTCGTACCCCTCTATGTCACGCTGTCGGGAACAATGCAACTTTTGCTGGAAGTGTGCTTATTATTATAAAGAGGTTGCGACTATATAAAGGGTTTTTTCTATAAGTTTAATAGTAATTGGTTCTCAACATGGTGTGCTTTAAAGAGGTTTTCTTTATGTGTGCTTATAGAGGGGGCGACTATAGAGGGGTACGACTGTACAAACATTTAAAATTTTTTGGGGGCAATTTTATAGACTTTTTTGGGGGATTTGGGATAGGATTTAGGGTAACTTTTGTTAATAATAATAAAAGAGTACAGTATATGTGGGTTTCAGAGGCATTAAATGAGAATCCCAGAAGACCCCAAATTTCGCTTTAATCTGCCACAATTAATAAGACGCGTTTATACGCATTTCAACGTTTAATTGGTACATCTTTTAAAGCTTAATTAATACAACTCTGATGGCATACGAAGGTTTTACATTTATACACAATCAATATAACAGATATTCGTGCGGTTAATGATAGTAATAGATATCGTATTAAATTGTCAATACCGGATAATACATGTTTTCCGACATTGGATAATGTTATTCAAGGCCTTGATAGACGCGACAATTGGAAGAAAATTTCTGACATTCCTAGTTTCATCCCACGCGAGTGAATACACTCATATCCCTTCAAGATCTATCACCATTATTTCCATGATATTGTTTGTAACGGTGCAAGTTTAACGGCATCCAACAACGGAAATAAAACTTTTCATACTAATACACACATGTGCTCCGTTTCTTGCCTTGCTGTAATCCTTGATTATCCTGACACGTGACGTCATATAACTCGTTTTGTCGTGAATTTTGTAAAGATTAACGATAAATCTTTTTTAAAATGCGCCTTAACGGTTTACGTAGGTGCAACCAACGAACGTTATTTATGAAATAAGGAATTCTCGCATTCCGAACAACTCGTTTTTTGCAGCATGTCGAAAAAAGGTCATCCTTACTCTCAGCTATCAGTCTCGGCACCAGACGCAACACCAATTACAGTTATAAATCCGCTTTCAGAGCCTCAAGCCCATAACCTAACCCGACCAAAGTCCAAACAACCAAATCGAACAACTAAAACTTCACAGAAACTTACTTTCTTCCCCGAGGAACAAGAATTTGCTGAAACCGACGAGTATGGTGAGACGTACAGCCAAATATTCCAAAGAACTGCTCGGCTTGAAGCTGAGAAATTTAGCAAGCTTGAGACATCAAAGTTGCCGAGAGTCACTGCTTATTGTACTGCATCGTAAGTCAGGGAGATCATAAAGTGCGTGCGGTTGTAAATAGGCACACGATATTGATTGTGGTATTAAAATAGATCATATCGGTTAAATGACTTGATGAACTATTTGAAAAGTCGGAAGATCATTAATGGAACGGCGCCTTTGCGATTTGATGAATGGTAACCTCATCATTTATTTGTCTATGCTGTTTACGACGTAATCATAATACTTATTTCATCACTCATGTTGATCTCCAAAGTATATACAGTCCTTTCACTTTCTATCCACCGCGAACATCACCGTTAGATGAACTGTCTAACAACGAAAATGCATCTCAAATGAAGCTGGCGACGAACATAACACCTGAAGTACTATATTTTGAGTATGGCGTTGTAGTAATTTGGGGGATGTGTGAGGAGGATGAGAGAAGAGTGCTGCGCGAACTTATTCCGTTTGAAGAAGAAAAACTAGGTTTGGATGAATTTATTGGATAATCTCGATTATAGTTTCGTCCTTTCTTGATCGAGTGAACGTTTTTTTTTTCAGCCTCTGAAGATGTGGAAACGGAAGAATTTCATTATCACTACGCAGATTCCCATCAACCAAGGTAAAACTGACGAGTCTGCGTGATGATTTTGTTGTTTAATCATCAAGTCTGTAAAAATAATGTGAACTTCATAGTATCTATAATGATGTGATTACTCTTAAGAATCCCGGTAATTACATGGTAAGAGTCACTATTTCCCATGCAATCGCCCAATCGGTGAAGATGACGTTGTTTGAAGGATTGGTGGAGGATACTATTGAAGCTACAAAAGACATACCACAAACTATGGCAGAGACCGGGGAGGTTCAAATGTCTAGGTGAGATTACGGTAGATATTGGATAAATGTTGGTATTACTTGTTATGGAATCGAATTACGAAAAGTTGGTAAGACCAGATAATGTATTCGCTTACTACATAGGGTTGCAATAACAAAGAAGATTGGACAGGTAATCCCAAAGTGCTATCGATATTCTCCAAATGGATCATTGTTGTAACTCTATTTTATAATAGCTTTTTATTATGAGGATGAATGTCAATCTCGTGAGCAATGTCTTGGACACGCCTGAAATGTTCTGGTCCGAGCCCGCTTTTAAGGAACTCTACAAAGCAATAAGAGGTATTTTTCCCGCTTTTAGCACATCTATGATTAACGGTATAAATACTGACTATTGGGTATGACATTATTAGGGTATCTTGAGATTTCGCAGAGAGTTGAAGTTTTGAATCAAAGAGTGGATGTCATTGGTAAGTTTGCTAATTGTCGGACACTCGAGATATTTGTGCTGATAATACTGCTATTATACATGAAGCGAGAGGGTCGAGATGCTCGATATACATGGCAATACTTTAATTGTTGACGTTTATGTTAGGTGATTTGCTCGATATATTGAAGGAGCATCTGACCAGTTCCCATGGTTTGTGTTTTTGTTTTAGAATTATCTTGTGCTTCGATATTTCTTTATGATAATCTATTGATGTATCATCTATGCATCATTAATAGACGAACAACTGGAGTGGATTGTTATCATACTCATCGGTAAGAACTACAATGTCAACTTTCTTTCGTATGATCTCATATTAAGTATCGATCGCTCGTATAATGTTTTTAGCCGTCGAAATAGTCATTGGCGTTATGACCATCTGGATTGATGCAACGGCTCATGACAAAGGAGAATAATAGAATTTGTAATTGTAGGTCTACAGGACAATGGTAATACGTATGTGAGGTCTATTTCCCATGTTGATAGGTATAAATTAGTTAGTTGATTTCGTTAATGTAAAATATATTTTCATCAGAAATATTATTGGAAATCATCACTTCAAAACTGATGAACATTGGTGTTAGCCATACATGTTATTATCTATATTGTTTTGCTAAGCTGTTTACTATAGTAAAGTCAATAAGCAATTTCCCACAGCTGACTATTATTCTACAAATAATGCATTCAATACTGCTGCCATGCGGTATCCTGCCATACCCAACAGCTTTTCGATTAAGTAGGACTCGCGTATTCTATTATAGTAATCACCCTCACCCAATTCCTTGCCTTTCTCAAACCCATCCCACACAAATTCACAGTTTAATTTATTTACGTATTGAGACCAATAAGAGGCACAAGCAATCGGCGACATTGGCGGAATGGGTGCGTTCATTTCCATGTCGTCGCCATGGAAGGGCAACTGATCCGATTCGGCTGAAGATTGAACCATTTCTTGAGCGCATGTAACCCAACTTTTCTTTTGTAACCTCCACGTCTTTGACATCATAGTGATTATGTGATTAATGTACGGTTCATAATCAACAGATTCCTCATAGTAGTCACTAGCACTGCTGGCGTTTTGTTGTAGTTCGTTTATACGTTTCTGTTCACAAAAGATTGAGGATAATATTAACCTGACTGATTTCGAACAAATAAAATGAGCAGCGGAGTCACTCACCAATAATATTCTCGAGTCCCATATTGAATGTAAGCTAGCTTTGCGCCCTTCGAATAAAGCTAAAAGAATGGAAGATTTAAAGATTATTCTCACATCCTTCATCAGCGAAATACGAAAAAGAGAGAGGGACTGATAGGTAAGAAAAGCTTTCTGAACTAGAAGCGTTCTATGAAATGATCAAAGAGACATTTCAAGCTGAACATATTTAATACTTGTAAATTACCATGACTTACCGTAGGCAGCGGTCCCGCCACGAAATCTGCCGGTTACTGCGTTGTCGTGAGAATAATATAGTATTACTACATAGTACATGACAATAACGATTTTCACTATCCCGCCCGACTTACAATGGAGTGGCTGGTGTAAATCTCCAATAAAATGAACAAAAAATTTTAATGCCTCTGCTCTTTGTGTGTAGTTTAGATCCGTATTTGGATCTAACCTGTGAGTGTAGTTATATACAGCATTAAGAATATCAGGATGCCCTTCCGTAAATGTTATTGAGCATTTCTCGGGAGGATAATCATTCTTCGACGATACGTAATGAAGTCGAGCAGAGAAACGATAGTTCGGCACCATCCGAACTCTATCAGCCCATGGAGCAATACTAATCGGGGATGTTTGAATAGGTAATTAGATGATTGACTAATGATACTTATACATTGTTGAGATACATCTTACGCACTAGCTTAGATTTCCTTGAGCTTCTTGCGGCAGTAGAGATCGAATGGCTTGGCGCGCTTTTGGTGATAGATAATGTTGGGCAATAGATGCAGTTATCTCGTGGCCTTTACCGATATATACACATAATTTATCTCAGTAGGTGAACGATATATTCTATATCCAAATCAATATACATAACTACACGGTATTCCCGTATTCGAGAATTTAGAGTGCTGGGATCTACCGACCGATGAACCCCCATCCATTTACACCAACGATGAGTGAAAAGACCAATAGTAGTAACTTCATCCCTTAAATTACCAGATCACGTCGGGGGGGGACGTGTATTTATATTAAACCAAAAATAATAACTGTGCTACGAAAAGGCTCGTGCGACGTGTAAAAAGGGAGAATTTATTAAATTATTATTAACACTTTGTTATTTATTATTCACAAAGTCGAGATTAAAATTCCTTGTTCTCGATGAATCGACTGATCATATCTAGTGCAGAGATCTTTTTGAGGGAATGGGATTAGAATTTGTTCCCAACAGACAAACAGACCAAAAAACCACGCTCGCTTACCGGTTGATCCTTGGGCACTAGATGTCCTGCATCTAATATTACAGCTCTTGTTAAGTTCATGTGATTGACAACGTATCCCACGACATGACCGTTCAGTCTCCAAATCTAGAAAATAATGGAAAATAGTATAGTTAGTAACATGGTAATCTTATCTTTAATGGTAAACCTTGGGCAATTTTTGAAACGCCTATCCCAATTTGTATACAGTTAACATCTCCGCAAGGGCAAATATTTCGCAAGGGAAAAAAACTGTCACGCTAGTCTATACGTGCTAATAATCACGTGTGATTCTTACCTTTCGTGGTTTCTTTCTAAACTCTTTTGCACCATCAAATTTCAAATTATACAGCCATTCCGTGTTCCCACTGACCCCATCGCGAAAGTCCATGTTCCCTTGATATAAAAGTACTTTGTAGTGTTTAATTAACGTGGGAAACAGTTGCGCAGCCGATTTCATTATGTCACCCTGCAACAAGAATAATTGGAGTCACATGAATTATTGAACTGTTTAAACATATCTTTGTAGGTAGACCAACGAAAATTTTCTCGCCAACACGACTTGCCTGTAAAAGCTGAATAACATGAGTATCCTTAAAAAAGGTCCTATAGCCCACGTTCAACGCTTGCTTCATATCATTCGACTTCATGATAGTTTCCATTAGACTCCAATCATTCTGTACATCGAGTTTGCGAACATCGTAAATATTGACGTGTCCGGTAACGTTGGCAAAATATTGGAAGAGGCTATTGCGCGTATTCACTGCTCCTATGAAATCGCGTCGTCTTATTTGGGCTATTGTTTGGGCAGCGTAGCGAAACAGTACGTAGGAGTCTTCACGCGAGATAAGGCCTGTAGAGCAAGAAGCGTTATGGGATGGACGTGTTACTTTAAATATATTAGGTCGATAGAGCAAGGTAAATGTGCCTTACCTAGCTGAAATGCATGCTGTCCGTGTACTTTGACCTGTGATTCAGGATCAGTGAGGCCATTACCTAAACAATGTATGTAATCAATGTGATTATGAATGCATGAAACTAATTTGATCAAGAACGCGTCCTGTAATGTTACACATATGCTCACCCACAGCTATTCCAACAAGAGGAAATACCTTATCGAACAATCCATCTGTTCATATACCAATTATTAACATACTCGTATATATTTCATCCGTTAAATAGAACACGAGATGTGTAACCGATAACTCACCTCGTCTCATCTTTTTATTATACAAATGAATGGCATGGGCAAATGAAGGGACATACTTTCCGGCATAGCTTTCGCCTATACAAACAATCGACATCAATCTTCATTGTTTAATTAATGTGGTTCAAATCACAAACTGCCACCATACCGGTAATGTACAGGTCTGCCTTCCTCTGTTCAGGATATTTAGAGTAAAATTCATCCAGAAATACCAACAAGTCTTTGGCAAGACTTTTTTGATTAGTTACGTAGCCGTTAACATAACCACCATGTCCCGTTTTGCTCTGTGTCGCACAGTTTCCCCCTCTCATTCCTACTATTTTTTGTGGGCTCATTTCATCCTTCTTGTCCAATCCAATGGTATCTTCATTATTCAATTCTGTTTGTTCGTTCTCTTCTCCATTTCCATGTTGATCCTGACCAACGTACGACCACCCGGTTCCTACTGGCTGATCGATGAATAGCATGCTGTATTTTTTGTTCCATGTATGTTTATGTCTTGTTAAGGTCAGATTGGGCGTCACTCGTAATGGACCCATCTGCGTGGGGATTGTTCGTTAGCGTAACGTACATCGAGCGCACAATCAGGAGTGAATTCGTGTATTAATTAGAAAAACCTCGTAAAAAAGTCCAATCATTGAACTAGAACCTGGACCACCTTGTAACCAGCTAATAAAGAAACGATTTACACAGGATTAGTCAGCTGATTATTCCCCAACAATACTATAGTACTTTAATTATGCTTTTAACCTAGGCGGGTTACTATGTAAAACAGCCATCACTTACATTATTAAAGGTGGGTTAGCTGTTTCTGGTTCTTGTGCGGGGAAGAACCAATAGAATCTTGGAACGAGAAAAAAAATTATATATAATTTTTACTTCAGTAAAATATGCCGAACTTTGAATAATACGATTTCGATTTTCGTTACAATAAATATTTACAATCCTGCATCTTCTTGTGTTTGACCCTTGTCAAATGTCCTCACTTTGATGTACCCAGCATAACTCTCTTTAATAGGGGGTTCGTTCTCGGCGTAAGGCAAGCTGCCAACGAGATGGTCTTTGGCAGTAAAATTATTGGCAAGAATGTTTGTATTTCTGATATCATCAAACAGACTCTCAAAATCATCAACATCCCATCCGTTTACTGGGAATAGTATCGAGAATATACACAATACTAATAAGAATAATGGGTTCATCTCGTATAGAAATCGATTCCGACAATAACACGGAGGTGTGTCTAACAGAATCCCGTTGGACGTTGAGATCTATTTATACTGTTCATTAAGATGCCCCATTATAATTACATGCTTTGCACGTATTGAATCATTGCCGATTATAATAACCAGTATATACAAGAAAGCGTTCAAGGGGAAACCCCATCGGTTACGGATTTGGTATAACGATGATGATCCCGATTAGAAGTTAGGAGAACTACCAAAAAAATTTTTAAGCGTAGACAAATAATAAACCATATCTTCAAAGTCTTTTGTTTTTCTACGGGCTAACTAATAGCAAGGGAAGAGGAACGGAAAAAAGAAAATCATAGAAAGCTTTCGTTTATGTTGATCCATACATATCATTTAGCCAAATCTGTCGAAAACACCCCCGAAAACCTTTATTCAAAAAAGTCAACATTTAAGTTTCACAAAGAGTGGAGCATTTAAACGAGATTTTTCTCTGTACAATGAGCGGACTGCAACTGATTGGAGACATCTCTTGCAGAGTTTATAACGAAATGTAAGTTTATATTTATGCTGAATGTGTTATAAACTTAGAATCGCCATCCAAGCAACATAAGAGAAACAGGTTTCATACAAATGAAGAACGCGAATAGAAATGCGTTAGCATGTGCTGATGAAACGCCGAGATGCAAGTAACCCAAATAAAATAAAGTACCCGGATTTAGAGAATGCATGCAGTTTGAAGTTGAGAAAAGCTGAGATGTTTCAAGGAATGCTCTGTTGCTGTCAAGCAATATTCATAAACCACACGATCGCAAGTTTTCATCGCCCACCAAGTGTAACGCATATTAATAAGAATTGCATGTGTAAATGACTTTTAAACTTTTGAGCAGATTCAAACATAAACAGTTTTGGTAGTTAGTTTGTATGATCATTATTCAAGTTATGTCAGGTGATTCATCGACTGATGGTTTGATAAATCGCGTTGAATACGATTAATGGAACTTGAGTAAATGGGACTCTATTTCTTTGCCAAACGCAGGTCGAATTTGGGACGATTGATATCTTTTATTGACAGCTCAAATCCAAATAATTAAGTATCCATCTATAGATAATGTTTAAGAAAAAAGTCTGTTCACGAATTCAAAAAGCTTAAGACCATAGCAAACAATGCCACGTATCAATATCATTCTTGACACTTTAACTTGTTGCTCTGTTGTCAAAGCACGGTGATTAATAGGTGCATAATTTCAGAGCGGATGATACTATCAACTTAACGAGAAAGAGGCAATTATTCATTTGTGTCATAATCTAGTGTCATGAGGTTTTGTATCGTTGATTTCATTGGCTGATCATGGCTTATTTTCCTAAAGTTTAAAAAAATTCCAGTCGACCGAAAGTCAATATAATACATTTTTTGCGAGAAGAAATCAATTGAAGGACGGCATATGTCCATATAAGCAGTCCCGTCCATATAGGCATCAATTGACAGGAGATTGCTATATTACAGATACCATCCATGGCTTCAACCACCCTTAAAGTATGTGTAATGAATGTTGGTTAACTGTCGCTTTCCGTGAAGATGATAAAGTAGAGGCTGTGGGAGAAGCAACTGCATAATATGGAAGAAAGAAGAAACTATTGTTAGTGAAGTGTGCGAAAATGACTCTCGTACGATACCTATTATACCACCTCTCCCACAGCCCACTCCGAAAAACCTGTTCCCCAATATCTCGTTTCGCATCTTATCGATAACCACTTAACATGAGCAGACATTTTTCCCGACCTAATTCATTCCCTAATCCCAATTTGACATTTATTTCTCAGGTAGCTCGTTGGTTTGCTCTCGGCTTGGGAATAGCATATGGATTTGTTCATCGACGTTCCCTAGAGAAAACGGAAGAAATGCAAAAAGCCCAGGCTGCTTACAATCATAAAGAGGAGCTTATTCAAAAGGCGAAGGCTGCTTATGCTGCGAAGCAGACGTCGTCGAGTCCCTTGGGCGGTGCGTATGTTTGAATTCATGGATGGAAAGGGAGAATTGGGGAAGAGGCGGTTGTTGGGTGCGATATGCTAAGTAGTTGACGTGCTATCAATGTGGACGGGCTTTGTGATTGATGCGATCGTTATCTGAACACTCGTTCATTTGTTGCGTTTGCTTTCTAAATCTTTATAGTCATATCGAATCCAGATGATCCCAACTTTGATCTCGATAAATACGTTGCTGCATATGAAGCCAGGCAAGGACACTAATGTGCCACATATAATAATAGCTTTATCTATTAGATTACGATTCGTAGACTTGACAAGATAAGCTTAGTTGTTCAACGCGGTACGCAAATATAACGATAGCGTTTATCAGTAAAAAATCGGGACTATGTTTTGAACGTGGGGAGCAGTGAGATGTGATATTTGAGTACGTAGGATTGGGATGGTCTCGATGAGTTTGACAGATCGAAAGGATCTGCTGGCGTTGATACATATCTGATTTGGGACTGCAAGTTTACCATAGTATGCATGAATATCAGCGTAATCTTTATTACATCCTGGCTCTATACTCGAAATATGTGGGCGATTGAAACCTTGTCTCGATGGTTGCCAAGTATTGAATAAACGTGTAACTTAATGACTACAAAATTAAAATATTCAAAGAGTTGCTCATAGGATTTGCATGCGCTATTTGTCAAATGAGATAAAGACGGTCATTTGAAGATGCTAAATCTGCTCGTTTCCCCTAATCATACTTGTATTCATTTTTACTTTCTTTAAACTAATGAGCCAACTTCAGCACATGATATCAGGATTACAATCAGGCGTTATGACCTGATAAATGAATTACATAATAATAATCCTTTACTTTGGCTGACCCAATGATGATAAACTGGCCACAATATTTTATTTGAACGTGTTTTATTAAAGTTACAGTATCTTTAGGTATGACAACATTTTTCATAATAATAACAGTCTCCAGCGAAAATAATGGCGATGAGAAGGTTTTATAATTTCAATGCAAGCAAATGTTGGCTCGACACTTAACCCTTTACTTATGACGTGTAAATATGCCTATAGAAGGAGAATAAATATTCTAGGCAGCTCTTACTACAGGAAATTTGCCTAAAGCAAAAAATAGCTCTAATTCACTTGTAGGTAAGGAGACGAAGAACTGGTTACATGTACATTTCAATAAATCAATTACAATATTGGTATTATCCATTATCTATGACTCGAGACTTTGAGTAATTTATGGTTTACACGAGTTTATTTAAGGGTTTAACGATCTTCAAATTAAATACGCTTGTGTGTTAATAAAGATTCGAAAGCTCTATCTACAAATAAAATAAAATTGATTCACGACGTGATGTGATCAATTCTTTGATATTTGCATTAATTCAACTACAAACATATAATATGTATTGTGTTTAGTACTGGCCTCCATAGACTATCTCTTATTATTATGTGCCTTGTTTAATAGCTTACAACAGGTAATACATATTCAGCCTTTATACTCTAGCATTCTCTATGAATAACTTGGGCAAATGCATTATTAATATTATTTATTGCCACAGTATTGGATATAGTACAATCCACGATCTTTACACTGATGAAGAATAGTGATTTTTCTTGATACTCAAGGGCAAGAATTGCTTGACCGGGGTTAATATTTATATCGGTGGGAATATTGTGGTCAAAGTTTGTTCATCCTGTGATAATGCGAAGACTACTTTAATATAGAGAATCTATTACAAAGCAAAGAATAATTATTAATATGCAATCGTCATTTTTGACCAAACCAAAAATGGAAAAAAAGGGGTCTAAAATTATTTTTAAGAAACCACAAATTAAAAAAAAGAAAATGTTAACAATAACACTTATTCGCTATCTATACCGGGAAAGCAAACCCTCTCCACAATCGACATATGTAACATAACGTGCTTGTTATTGGGTCATGGCCAAAGTTACCCCCAATTTATTTACCGGATCTGTTATAGACAGTATTTGCTGTGTTATAAGCCGCTCACCAGTATGAAAAAAATATATTTAAGACGAATATTCCGTTGGTGCTCGACCGTCTGCCCTTACTCCCGGCATTAAAAAATGACTTCTGTTGAAAAGAAACTGCCAAACGGCGACTCGGTAGTAGCGAATCCTGCAACCATCGCTCTACCTGCTACTAATGGTACTGTTACAAAGTCTCCGCAATTTAAATCCATTAGTCGTCCATCGCCTTATGAGGTTCTTCGCCGTATGCTTCTCTTGTCCGATGGGAGGGACAAAACAATGAAAGTCGTGCAGTACTTTACAAAAATAGTATTTTGGCTCTATCTATCAGACAATAAATCCAAATATCCAACATTACACGCAAGAGGCTCAGCATTAACATCTCAATTCTCGACTACCAGAAAAATTATTCGTCTATTCCACTTTCTTGAACCCTATACTGATTTTCGAGAATATGTTATTGGGGCTCGTTTTTTGAATCCCAAGTCCCCTCCTTACGGGAAAGTAGCTCATTACTTGGGATTTGTAAATTCCGTTGCTGGAATGGGGAACGATATACTTGATGATTTGTATTGTTTGGGAAAGATTGGAATATTAAGTAAAGAGACCGCTCGAAGGGTAGAGCCGATAGCTATTGCTGTGTGGTTTGTTACCATTTGGTTGGATATCCACGAGTTATTGTGGAATGTGTGGCAGTTGAAGAAAAAGATGGCGCGGGCGAAAGGAAGATGTTCGGAAGAAGAATGTAAGAAGATGGAAGAGAAGATGTTTTGGTTGAAGCATGGGTTGCTTAAGATGCTGGCTGATCTCAGTTTTTGTGGTATGTCTTGGAGATAATTAGGATGAGGGGGCATCAAAAGAATATCTTTCAAGTTGGCACTATCATTGACAGTTCTAACTCTTAAACGTTCTCTCTCTCTTAGGATATGATTTCTTTGAGTGTACATTTTCCGAAGGATTTCAGACAATTACCGGGTTCGCTTCTGGTGCCTTGAGTATGTGTTACTGCTTGTAGCTATAATCCGTTTGCTGTTTTGAAATTCATTTGATAACCTTTTTTTTTTGTAATTTCCTTTAACATTAGGTTTCTATAAACTATGGACCAGGATGTCAGAAAAATCTTAATTATATACATTTTTTATGTACATTATAATTTATAATTAAAACTAGAGTGTAAGAAGATATTTAAAAGGCAACCGCCGATGCCACACTAACTGTATAGCGAACAAGATATTAGATTTGCTACTTGAACTATATAATGGAAACTAGAATGCAACAATAAATTAAGTCGTGTTTTTGTCTTGCTATTTATCATCATAACGGTATTTGATACTTCCATATTTCATAAAGGTAACTCCCCCACCCTGACGACTGCTATTGGTGGGGAATGACTTCGTGATGATATCAGGGACAAACCAGACAAAGTGAACATTTGACTATGTAAGGTAAAAGTGGCAAGCGTCTCCTCGAATCATACGTGCAGAACGTTTTGAAGAATATCACTGCCAAGTCCTGAGACACAAGACTCTTGAAACAAGGTCCTACTAGTCATTAATTACAAGCACCATTGAAACAGTTCTTTGCTTGCCAATTAGCGAAAAAACGCGACAGTCGATTCTTTGTTGTGCACTCCGAGTCTGTTCAGACACGTAAAAGCATCATTCTAACTACGCAGCTAACGAATCTCCAGGTGAAACCCATCAAAAACAAGTAATAAAATCTATCTCAGCTTCTAGTGTGCTCGGAGCCAATTTTCTCTTCAAGAATTCCAATTATGTGGCCTAGATCACCATTAAAGACGGACAGAGATACGTGGGCATTATTTCAATTCTTGGATGGGTCAAGCCAACGAATGAACATCCACTCTTCCCGTTTGTTATTATCCCGTATATTTTGATGCTAGATCGGTCTTTCTCGTCTTCGTCGAAATCTGTCTGACTTATCTTCCGCTTTTTCTCTGTTCCCTGGGAACGAAATTATCGGTTGAAGCGTAAAAATTATGAATAAATTGGGGGTTTCCACACCTCTGCCACACTATGCAGTTGAGCAATATTCTGTGGCGCGCCTTGATTAAAGTTTTCTAGAGTGACAAGCAAACAAATGTCCTCTTTTGTGACAGAGACCGTACCCGCGGCTACCTCTGAGACTCGTTTCTGCATTCAGCTGCAGCTTGGGATCTTTATCCTGCAGAATTGCGACTGCCGTCGTCATAAAAGGTGAGACAACCTCGCGAATGGTCCTCTGATTATACGATAGGACGACAGCTTCCTCTTGATTTCGTTTGCAAATCTTGTCCATGTTTCAATGGAAATTTCACTAAAGAGATTCGGAAGCTCTTCTGCACAAAGGTTGATTATGTACGTTTGACGTCTTCTTTAAGCATGAAAATATTAGAATCATAATTGTAAAAAGGCGAGCAGAGCCCATGTCATCCCATCTTTGCCATAAAATGGCCTTGGTAATATCACCAAGGTTCCACTCACTGTAGGCCTTCATACCTGTACAAACACGAGATTAAAGATATTAATATGCGAATTTAAACAATTTGCGCAAAGCATCGATCAATGTATGCCACGTCCAACCTTCGACTTGAATGGACAGACTGATTACGCGTTTTTTGTTTACTGCTGGAACCCCCATTAGCCAACAATCAAACGAAAACTCGTTCCCAAGTTGTAAACCCTTTTTGCCGTTCCCCAAATTTTCCACAAAACCATAAGTCGCTCCTCTCAGTTCTCCAAATTTAGTTTCACAGATATAAGACTAGTGTCCAGTCGCGTCGTTTGACATTCTTGAGTTCATCGAATTCTTTGCAAAGATGACATGCAAGATCATACAAGTCTATGGCCAAACATCCAAACGCAATGAATTTTAGTCATTATTTGCACTACATTCCTGCAAGATTTTGAGTTTGCTCATACCTGAATTTAACGAACCGAAAATCGACACATTACGTTCCGCAATCCAACGTTTAAAAAAAAAAAGTTATGTTACGACACCATACAAATTAATATGCATTTGAAAGTCTTAATCAAATACAAAAAATTTCACACTTGCTTAGTTGCCGAGAAATAAAATTATAAAATGTATTGTGTAAAAAATTTAGTATCAGAATAGTATCCAAGCAGTCGTGAAATAAAAAATTGCTTTTACTTTACGTTCTATGCTTGAAATTAGATTTGAAATATGGTGTTCCTCAGATGTTGGTGGTGGGTCCCCCCACAGATGTTCAATGGAATTAAGGTCAGGGTTCTGTCCTGGCCATCACATCGAATCTTCAAAAGAATGCCATAGTCAACTTACTTTATAGACTGAAGCATTGTCTTGTTAAATTCACAATCAAAAATGAATCCACAAGGAAATTTCAATCGGTACGAGCCTCGACTAATGTCATATCTAACGATCGTATTTACTCTCATGTGATTCAGAAACCGGGGGCTGTGTATGATAAAGTCTGTGTAGAGCTCGATGGAATCAAGTCGTAGTCTGATCACCCGCAACTATAATAATAAACAATGTAAATAAATTTAGATAAAAGATCTCTGATTTTTGCATCCCTAAAATTCATCTCCCTCCGCTCCAGCTTTTTAAGTGCCGCCAGTTCGGCCTCTGCTCGCGCGTATTTAGCCGTCTTCTCACCGATTAAATATCCTACCTTCAAGTCCTTCCATAAAATGTATTAGATGTGCATTCAAAATGGCTATATATCTCTGACTGTTAATTATTCCTTCAACTCTGACCAGAGGGCCTAAAGAGTCTGCATGTAAAACAACCCCCCATATCATTGGAACACAGTTAACATCGTATTTCTCCTTTGGGAGTCTTGCACCACACCATGGAAGTATGACTAACAATCTGCCATAAGTATATCGTTATTAAAGTTACATTATGAACTGTCATATCACCAATACGTTTATATACTCACTCTCAAGTAGCCCCGTTTCATACCAGGATTTGAGGCATAAACTTGCGCGGACTTTCTTTTCATCCAACCGGTTGCGCACGGGGCTTATTGTGTGTTTTGCGATTGTCCTCTTAATTGTTTTAATCTCTGCACATACAAACGCTTTGCATATTATGTATTTCGATATGTAGCTGTGGAGCTACACTTATCAGAATATTTGACTGTGTTTGCCGGAGGAAGTCTCGACGGTTTTGACTGAAATGAGTGGTTTGCTGACACCCATTGAGAGAGGGGGTGGGTGGGGAACAGGACTCCCATTGAGGACCCACTATATCGTAGTTGTAATTGCTCCCGCCGTCTCCATTCGTCCGCTCTCTCCGCTTTCTCTTTGGCCGTCTTACTGCTGTTGACGTGACAAATATAAAGCTGGTAATAGGAATATTTGAAATGCGTGTCGTTCCACCAACGATCTGCAAAATGACGTGTGCTTAAATTTTGCAGAAATGTAGGTTAGAACAAGCGCAAATAATGATTGTGTTTTGGATCGACGAATAATTTAAGTAGACACTGTATATAAAATACCTCTATACAGTATAATAAAAGTACAGGTGAAACCTATTTAAACCGTTTATGTTTTATATACTGTATATTAATATCAACTGGTTTAACTAGTGGATCATAACGTTAACACGTTTAATGGTATTAGTACAATACTTTGGAGAAAACCAAGGTTTTTGTCTTCAACAGAAGAATCCTTTTAACTTCCTTTCTTTTTTCTTAAAATGTTCCAAGCAGCAGCAGGGAGCACGAGCAGACTTTTTTTTTTGGTGAGTGTATTTTTTTACACCTCCAGTCTGCGAATTTTTAAAGCTAAAATTGTCAAAATCGATAGCATTTTTGATATATATCAGAAATTGATACCCAGGAACACGTTCTAGAAAAGGTGTTTTTTTTTAAACCGGCCTCTAGAAGCCCAAGAACTATAATTTGTTTTCTTGTCAGAGCGAAGCGATTTAAAACTTAAGAGAAATAATTTGCTTCCTTGATTAAAAAAAACTTCAAGATTTATAATTTGTTTTCCCAAGTTTTAAATCACTTCACTCTATCAAGAAATATAATTTGTTTTCTTGATTAAAAAAAAAAACATCAATCAATTGTATAGTTATTTGGACTTTAACCATCCTTTAAATGTCTAGAAATCTATATTGCATTCTTGCCCTGCTGGAATCTCTGAAATCTGAAATTTTATTATTTGAGTGACGTGTGTTTTGCATTTTAGATCACGCTTGAGTGACGTGTATTTTGCTTTTTACGATACACACCAACATGGCTTGATGTGCGATTTTTATTTTTCAAATAACAATCGTGACAAATTTTGTCGTCACCCATATGCGACATATCGTATGAATCGAAGTTGATTTCCGTTATCAAGCTACACGTGAACTATTGAATACTAGTTTGGTAATCGTAGCCGATTTCTGTCGTCAGATCACATGTAAACTATCATATGCCGTTTGGTGATCGAGGGTTGGCCTTATTACGAGATTGAGGCAATAGCCAGGTAAGTGACGAAAAAAGTGTCTTCGATTATATATTGTTGTACGAGCGGTGTTGTAGTAGTTGTTATTAAGTATAATCGTATTATTGAGAACGTTGCTGGGATTTCATCGATAATCGTTCGTACAACTGATTGAGCTCTCGACGCTGTAAACTTTAATAAGTCCAATGTATGCCGAAGCCAGAGATTACCAGACTGAATTTCTACCACCAGAGACGACATTAGAGATCATAGTGAACGCCAGTTGAATATTTCCAATCGTAAGTTTATTAGTTGTTTTCAATCGTATTTATTATTCGATCCTATAAGTATTATTCCACCGTAAGAGTTATTCCATTATTCCGTTGGAGTCTTCGACCAAATACTAAGTGGAAAAGGTGCGACTTTGATTGTTTATATATCTAAATTGCTACTGCGGTATAGCTATTCTAAAATCTAAATGGTCCATAGCTATTGCTAAAATATTGATTTACGTCACTAAATTTACGTCAGATATTTAAGTGATCATCTGACGCTAATAATATTAATGTTATTATTAAATTCGTCGTATAACATTTGGCCACCCTTATAAAGCGAGCTCCTGCGAGCTAAGTTTACTCCTTGACTCAATTCCTTTTCTCTCAATAACATGTCTAACAAAAGAAGACAAAGACACTTCGTCATTTCTCATTCTGCTAATAAAAAACCGAGATATTTCCATAATTCGGGTTTAGAATTGGTTTCTTCTTCAGAGGATGATACCGATCCATCTTCCTCAATTGCTCCTTCTATCTCGCGGGGATCTTCATGTCCTCGATGCATAATGCTTAATAAAGAAATCAAGTGGCTTCGTTTGCGTGTTGAAAAGTATGAAGAAAGCATGCTAGCTCGTATCAATAAACTGGAACGGCTTCTTGCATTGGCTTTGAGTGGGCAGAATGACGACAATAGTGGATTTGGTGTTCCTTCATCTTATCTTTCGATGGTATCTTCCATTCCCGAGGGTGCCGTAAATTTTGGAGAAATAACCGTTTCTTCAATGGAAAATCCAGATATTTCCGTGAGTTCTGAGGCATCGGGTTTTCCAGAGACGTCCATTTTTTCAGAGACTTTATCGTTTCCAGAAGTCTCTTCTGATAATCTTCTTCCTGAAACATCATTCAAGAGAGTGTGCTTGTCCTTGTCGTGCCGAGCCGATTATCACGGGAGAGCAGATAACAATCAGCACTTGGGATTTAGCTAGTATCGGCGGAGCGCGGCGCCTCCTACTCTAGTTAAATTTCTGGCTACAGTTAGTGACCTTGTTAAATCAGGGCTTTACACTTACGAAAACCTAGCGTCGTAGAGTGATACTATTTTATGTCGGTTATTATCATGGGATTAATTCGATAGCCTCCCGATTGGGGTACAATGGTATATGATAAGAATAAACGCGTTTCTGAACAACAATTAAATATCGTAACTCGCCACTCGGATAATTGCGGGACAAGAGGGCAATTATCCTTCGTTGATATACGGATTAGCGGTTTCTCAAATATATCAACTAATTTAGAGAATAGGGTATCAATAATATAAGTTCAGAGTAAATGCGATACTCGTTTATTAACACTAAAAGGAATCGAATTCACACTGCGAAACACACCCGATTCTAGCTGAGATCTATGCTGCTTATAATGGACTAATTGATCTATTTTTAGCAGCTACTACGAATTACTCATCTATTATTGTCAGTATACGTCTTGACTTTTCTAGCGATGCTTGTATCACTGCTTAATAATATTATACTATTGCGTGACCCCCAATGTCCCTGCAAATTCCGCAGCTGCGCTGGTGGCAGAAATTCAGGAGAGAATACGTCACCGTTTATAGCGTAGCATCACACCCTCCAGCCGAAATCGAGTGTGGTTCAAGAGTGTGCCTGACCCTCCAACCACATTGTTTAATATACTAATACGTCTATGAGTGCGATGTCTTATATCATCTGCACAATTCCGCTTGACGTGATACTTTGACGGTATTCTCTATGTTCTGGTTCTGCATTGGCATCCGCGGCAATGGCGCTGAGAGTTCCTTTGTATAGGCTATGTATGGGCCTGCCGCTTGTTCGTTGGGCGTTTGTCATTCAAAGAGCAGTGTGTCAAATCGTCAAAGAATGGATCAACTTTAATCATGATGGTTCATGAAACGGTAATTATTACTATTGTCTCACCAAAGACCATTTGCGCAAACTCGATCATGGTGTCTTTCGAAAAAATTTTGTTCGGTTTGTTTGTTATGCGTCATAATCAACGTTTTCTGCATAGCTATGTGACGAAATCACGTTCAGTTAGCACATATACAGCAGTTCCGATAGAGAGAGCAGTGATCTAGCGTATGTTTCTATCGAACAAATGTACTAGATGATAGAATCATTTGTCTTGTAATTTGCTTCTTTTCTTTTTTTTTTTTGCTATTTAATTTCTGACTGTCTTTCCGTTATTCTCGTTGATTGTTACTTACCGGATCTGTGCGGGCGGCTTCGCCTTCGCGCATCGAATGTCGCTTAAATTCGACGGTAACATGGTGCGTCGTTCGTCTTTACGAACGTTCTCATGTATGCTCTTCTGATCTGTCCAATGATGGTGAGCACATGGTAAAGAGTAAAAACATTAATATTTATGGAATTATGCTCATTCTTGCAGATGCAAAAGTTGACCTTCAGAAGGAACGCGTTGGATTGTTGACAACCAGGTTGTTGCAGATTTGGAGCGCGCATGGCTAAAAATCGTTTGTGACACTGTTTCTGTTACTTCTAAAATCAAATTGACTACGGCCAATTAGAAATGAAAAATGAAAAATGCTCCAATTCGGACAAAAGATCAAATAAAACATTAATAAATGTGACGGCTGATGCTGGAATCGTTGATACTGTCCACGACACACGACAAACGACTTTGATGCTGGTCGGAATGCGATTAATGATTTATCAAAAAGGCATTAACACGTGTATTCATTGTCAATGTGAACTGTGAACGTCGATTTTTTATTATGAGGGTCATGCTATGTTGATATTATTCTTCGTTTCAATGGAGAACAAGTTTTTCCCGTCGACTCGGAATGAAAGTCTTAATAACTATTATTTCTCGCGGCAAACATTAGCAACTTAGTCGACCAGTATGTTTGAATCGATGGTTCCAGTGAGTAATGAGCGAAGATATGGTGGTTATTGGACATGACTACATATACAGCACAATGAAATCTATACGGTTGGGACGACGGAGCATGGGTTCATGCTTACTCACGGTGAAACATGTTCCGCTTATTATCACTGAAGAAGTACTCAAATTTAGCCATCGCCTATAGACCTCTGAATGAACGAACGCCGTACCTAGTGCGACCACCCATGTCAATGGCAAAGAGTGCTGATAGATGAAACTGAGATTTCATATCGGAGTGGAATTGATGCACTGAGAATTATCTCCACTCATTCTACTGTTTGAGAGAATGTAATTGTTAGGTAATTTACTGCATCAGGGGATAATTGTGATACTCTCCTAGTGAAGTACTATTCTCCAGAGTTAAATTGGGATTCCGCCGTGCTACGCAGAGAATCACTATTACCAAAACACAAAGTAAACAATAATGTATGATGCTACGCAGAGTATGAATTATTCATCGCTCGACCCGATGATGCCTTTCCATCTCTCTCTCTGAGGAATCATGTTTCAGGAAGACATTGATTAATATCGTATGATAGAAGTATGAGACAGCACGTTCATTAAATACAAGGGTATGCACGTAATAAAGTGGTAACGAGATGAACCCTCGTAATCCGCCTACCACGTTCACACGATTAACTGTATTTTACAATCCTTTCAGGATATATGAATAAATAAACTAACTAGTCTCATTATCACTTGTAACAATCTCCATATTTTCTTTATCAGAATTTCGAAGTCCATCTAAGTCCCTGTTATACCACACTTTTCAAAGACTGAGGATGTGCTTTCCCATGAACATTTGACCCAACTGCACACATCACTTATCTTAGCACAATGAAGATTTCTTCTCCAGAATCACCAACAACGCCAACATCAAGAGGTTGGCAAATATTAGTTAGAATTATTGCTAAGTCAAAACCACTTTCATAGAACTTTTGTTTAACTGGTTCCCCTAAATGACCCCTGAAGGAGTCTTATATTAAATAGGTCTAAAACGTCACTAAAAATAGTCTGAATTTGGCACATGAGTCATAATAATAAAGCAAAGTCTCGCCAAAATGTATCGGCTAAATTAGTTGATCCATTTTCAGCCCACATAGTCAAATGTTCACTTTGTCTGGTTCTGCCCCCATAATATTCTGTAACAGTAAAAAGAAGACCCGCATGATAATGACATTTTTTAAGTATAACATACATGGTGTTATTTGTGGGGTTGATGATGATAAGACTGACATCAATTCTGCAGATAAAAAATAAGCCACATCCGAATGTTTATACAAATCAATAAAATACGTTATGACACAAAAAAGTACAATGTAATGGTCATATTAATATGCATCCAGAATTTTGTGTTGGAGCAACGCCATTATAGAATTTTGCTTATTTCACAATCACGCGTTTGTCTTTACTATTGTCATAAATTGTTTAAGGGAAGAAAACCTCCTATTACTATTTAAAACTCTGGCTATTGTCATCATAAATTGTTTAAGGGAAGAAAACCCCCTATTACTATTACTATTACTATTTAAAACTTATAAGAGTCGACTATTGAAGTAGAATTATGTGATAGTGTATTGACATCGCTATGATTGGGCTGTCGCGATTTATTGTTTCCCCCAACAGATCATATAAAAATTTCTTTATAAGAACACCATGTTTGAGGACTGCTTGACTATAGAGAGAGTTGACTAATACCATCAAAATGCATGAGGCGCGCTGTAGCGAAACATTACAAACGCGCATGAAACCAAACAGTTTTCGCGAGGGTTCGGTCGAAGGCTCCAACACAAACGCACTCTCTATCTTCCTCATAAACACTCCCCCCCTTTCGCCTCGCGGATGTCCCACGGAACGCGCAGCACGGTCTCGGTCGGTTCGGAACGCCGAGTGGTCAAGACTCTCAACAGAGCAGGAACCCGGGCTTATATGCCCAAGTGAGTAAATTTGTTGAGCGGTTTACAAGTGTAAATAAGAGGTTCAGAAGCACAGCGGGTGTATATATCGAACCTCTGTTGCCAAAACGCTGCATAGTAATAGTGGCTAGCTAGCTGTGAACAAATGTTTTTCTCTGGTCTTGACAATAATAACAAAAGGACACATATTAATATTTCTTATTTTACTAGACAACATGACGGCGAAGATTACGGTGCGGACATCATTGGGTTTTATCGAAAAACCCTAATGTTGATCCAATGTCAGAATAACAGCCGGCGGGCAATGAGTAAGTATTAACTTTGTATCACATTAATATATAACGTTACAAATAACTAAATTGTGAATGGTCTGTTGTAGCACCGGACATAGTGTGGGAATTAAAAACGACTCTTCTGACAATATGTCCCAACAATACAGTTGGGATATTGGTGGCCAACGACTTTTGCGCTGGAACAAGAATGGCCGCAGAAGAGCCACCACACAACATCATTCTCGCTACTGAGAATGATGTGCTTGAGAAAATAGCGCAAGTTTTCTCAACACGTCCGTACGATCCATCACCGCAGGTCGATGCAATAGCTGAACTGCTGATGGATCGAATAAAACAACTCGAGTTTCAACTCGAAACCGAGAGCACAAATTTAGATAGATCAAGAAAAGAGAGGGAGGCCTTCGAACTTCAACAAGAGAGAAGGCTCTCCCATATTTTTTATATGCTTATTTTTATTTTAATATGTATTCTTGCAGGTGTTGCTACATTTGTGTATGCAACCTTTTTTATCGCATTTTCAAAATATAGTATTCGTAATCGATATTGTTAATCACGACTAGTAAACGACCGCTGACAGCTTTCAAACTGTATTATCCTCTGACTAGACCGGCGATTTACTTTATATTTTCATTGTGTAGCAATATTTTTAATGTGCTTGTATTTATTTCGATATTTTTATAGAAGTGTGTATGCAACCTTTTTTATCACATTTTCAAAATATAGTATATTCCTGATTTACATACCATTATTTAATGCTCTGCAGATGCTTCTATCACGGCTACTCGAATAAAACCAAGAAAAATAAACAGCTGCTTTATGTTATGCGTCAAGTTTGTTTGATATGTGAAGTGAATAAATAATATGTACAAGATTTACAATTACGAAAAAGAAAGAGGTTAAAGGATAGTAAGTTATAGTCACATTTTCTCTCCAGACCAAACACAGGCACAAATACAATTTCTAAAACAAAAGAGTGAGATTTTTGGATACAATTCTAATTTAATGATAAGTTTACTGTTTCTTTTTGCTCCAAGTGCCATAGCAAGTTTGTAAATCTAGCAAAGACACCGTCTTCCCACTTGCATGATAATGATAACACCTCAACTGTAGACATCAATTGCATCTTATCAGATACTTCAATTGAGTTTGCATCCAGTAGTCTGTTATCAGGTTTTAGGGTTAAATAGTATTCATTCTTTCCACAGCCGCCTTGTCTTCATTTGATTGCCTATTATCATATGTCACCTTTTTTCAAGTAATACCACAAAACTTTAAAGATCGCCACAGAGCCGTATGAAGACTTTCTCCCTGTTCTTACTACCATCTCAGATAATAATTCATCGAAACACCGATCAACTTTCTCAACCACCAGTGACGACAAAACCTAGAAAAGCGTTAGTTTTACGATAAACACAGATACAGACGAGACTTATCCCATGTAGTTATCGTGAATCCTTTTACGTCTACAATTCCTTCAGAGGTATTTTCGACACATCCCTAACGATCGAATAGTCGCAGAACTCTGGATACGTGACTCGGCCGACATGTAAATAACGGCCAATCTTTCTACGAAATAAACCGTTAGGAATGAAGTAAATTACTCCTCAGCGTAAGTCTTTGCCAATATTTCTGTTATTATAAAGTTGACATGTAACAGGCAACAGTAGCCGTTAATAACCGTTTTGAGTAATCGCCAGCGATGAGAAACCTCTTCCGTAAATAGGCAACAGAGCTACGCGTGCTTACCAAAAGAGTAAGCAAAGGAGTCGAATGCAGGTGAATGATCGTAGAGACCTTCGTGCGTTTTCGAAAATTTCGCACAGTCAAGAGACTTTGGTGCAATAAAATGTTATATGATATGTTTGATTGGTTTGCTCGTTATTTAAACAATTGTCATTTTTTCTGCAACCACCGTGTATAACAATCTTGGAATTTTAGCTTGGGTTAATATGCTCGCGTGATTTATTAACAATGTAAATTGCTCGTAGGTATTACACGCTACCTCGATACATTCGGTTCTCAGGCAAATTTACTACATCAAACTAAGAGGTAAAAAACGCTCATTGTTACCCGCACAAAATTTTTATCTTTAATTCAATTAGCTTGCCAGAAGTTAACATAATTGACTCGATTAAAGGAAAGCACGTTTATCGACTGGAAGTGTTAACTCCTTAATTAACAATTTGCGAGAGCAAATAGGACAACGAAATAAATAGACAATTCAAATACCATACATAAGCATTCCCCATTTTACAAGCGATGATGATACTAACTTTGATGAGTTTGTTGATTCAAATAATAATTAAATAGACGAAGGATTAAGGATTGTAAATTCTGACCAAATAAAGTCTACCATATTTTTTCATAACTTTTGAGAGATGTTTAGCTGAGCGGAAAAAAGTTAATATTGTTACTGTAGGTCCATGAATAATAGGTTTGTTTATGCAGCTACTTCAACAAGCCGTATATTTTTAGCAAGTGGAGGAAATAGAAGGTCTATGGTTGGCAGTAATGTATATTTTCAGCCCCTCACCTGGCAAAGAGCTGATGTCCTCTGTAGGAGTTGACATAATTGAATATGTGTGTCGTCTATCACTTTCGATGTTGTGTCTCCACCCCAGATATCCAACCCAAATTTGGAAAGGGAGAAAAATCGGAACAGACAATTACATAGTAATAGTAATAGTATAATAGTGGTTCGTTAAACTGAAGATGGATAATCCGAAGATTTCGTTATTCCGAAGTGTTCGCCAGCACCAACCCGGATATACTTAGTAGAAATTTATGCATAAACCGAAGATTCCGCTGGACCGAGCCACTATTACTATATGTGATGTGTAACGGTTACACACCTTATGATAAATAAATGTTATGGATTATAGTCAAGAAATCCCACGTCGTACAGTATATTCCTATATATATAGTATTAACACAATGCTGACTGGAATTAATGTTGGTCTTTACAATGAAGATTACTCCTTATATAGAAATTCTACTGTGCGAC